AAAAAAAAAAAAAAAAAAAAAAAAAATGGTAAATTGAAGCCCTTCCGTTAGTCCCACCCCTCGCCATTGCTCTTTCTTACTCAAGTCCATTTACATCTTATAATCCTATTAAAAAGACCAGGTTAAAACTCACGGAATCGCAGCGCCGTACCGGGACGTAGTCCGCGTCGTGATCGCCGCGGGTCGAGACTCCGTGGGTATGAATTTTCAGCTTCTGAAATAGGTAAGAAAAAGCATTAAGATCGCGACGAGTTTATAGTTCGGGTTTTGATGACGTTGAAAGTAAGAAAAGAAAAAAAAATGTCTTATTAAACAGCCATCTAATTAACGGGTAGACAATGGCCGAGTGGCAGCCATCCTGCGCTACAGAAAGGGTTGCAGCGACGGCCAGAGTTCGCCCTCGTTTTCCAAAGGGGCAAAAAGAAAACCTCCTTAACGAGTTAAAAGGGAAACGACTAGAAATCGTGGGAAACTTAACAAATCCAAAGTACACTCGAGAAAGCATTCCCTCCGCAAGTCTTACGTTCGGCTGGGAATATTTACTGAGCCACGAGAGGGCGTCCCGGGCACGAAGACGCGACGAGGATCAGAGCATAGCGGGGCTCGGCAACGCCGTCGAAACCACCCGAGAGACAGTCCCCCCCAAAAAAACCTACGAATAATCGCGAAAGTTTAGCGGTCGAAATATGTAAAAAAAAAAATTGAAAAACAAAGTTTTTCAAAATCGTCCCAAAAATTGTTCGCGACCATGTAAAAGAGTGGATCGGATGGAAATTTTCGAAAATAAAATAAAATGAAGTTTGTTTACCTCGTTTCCAAAAAAAAAAAAAATATTAACCAGCGTCCTCTACGAGGGTCTAAGCCGCACGCGACACCCACGCGATATGGCGTTAGACGTGTAAAAAAAAATTTCGTAGTTCAACGTAACAGATAGGTGGACGTAGGAATGTCAAAACTGTACTAATGTAGTTCACACGGTAATTGAAGGAGCCCAAGTGCACTCGAGGAGCGCAGGCGCAAGGTGCGTGCACATATGGCAAACAAGGGAAATAAGTGCAGCGGGAGGGTACGGGTATATAAATAAGAAATATATATGCGTTCACGTACTGTGACCGTTCACACAGTAGAAATTCTCCCACGAATAGTATAGCGGCAGATAAGACATTATCTCCCTCTCTCTCACTCCCCCCACTCCCTCTGGCAAGATCAACGCCCGTCTCACAGCCTCGCACCGTCTCCTGTTAATTAGAAGCGACGTTAGGAGGTTGCGAGAGCAGCTTAAGGTTGCCATCCGGTCGACCGAGGTCACGGAGGTCAGCCCTTGCTGGCTGTCGGTACCCTGAACTTGAACCACGTGTTACGTAAGGAAGAAGATAAATTCCAAGATGGCGCACGAGATTGCCCGACATTTTCATCGCGTATGGGAAGCGTACGCGTAAGAGAAGAAAAAAGGCCCAGAAGTCACACGTGGGACCGCATATATGCCGTAGTCGCGTGATAATTGCCAAAGGTCAGGTACGCGAATTCCCGTGCTTATGGATACCTCAGGAAGGATTGGATACGCGGTGCATTAGTGCCGTCCGCAATTCAGCGACAATACGCGATTACCATAAGATAGGTGAGACCGTAGCAATGTGCTAGGGCATACGTGAACTCTATCCTCTCGTTACGATATAGATAGTACGGTAGGTATAGCCCAAGCGGATTAATCGCCGGACACCATTTCCGTCGCTACCGGATGAAAGTACCGTCGGTTAGCTGCTATTCGAGACAGCCTTAATGGCTCCGATTCGCATCCAGAGAGAAATAGGGGTTAGGTCGTTAGATGCGCAGACACATGGCAAGAGAGACGGATATAAAGCGCATAGACAATACCCGAATCTATCCGTTAACCCCAAGTGCCGATACTTTGATAAAACGAACGAAAAAAAAAAAAAAAAAAAAATTACGAAAAATAAATTTCGAAAAAAAAAATAAAAGATAATAATATCCCATTAGCGAAGCATCCGATAAGGAATTCAAAAAAAAAAAAAAAAAACTCGAATTCCCGAAGATGGAATAAAATTGCAATTTTACCTGACGATGCACCGGGTAACCGGAAGTGCAAGCGTCAGGAGTAAGTGCATGAGCCAAGTTCACGTATATACGAAGTGAGGTAGGTCCAGGTTGAGTAAGCAGCAATATCATCGGGTCCAGGTGTCTATTACTGTAGGTTAGGCTCTCGTCGTCTCCTGCTTTGGGATTCGAGACGCATTAGTTGCAGCTGCACGCAATCTACCAGATCCTCGGCAGTTTGCATTATGCACATGTGCGTCGCGTAATTACGTAAGCGGGACTATAGATACCGTATACGCCCTACGCGAAACCATTCTCCGGGTGCGCAGCATCCTCGCCATAGTATAAGGGACTGCTCGCAGCTAACGTCAGAGCCAACCACGCTGCAGCAGAAGGTCGCACGCTCGAGTGGCATGCACTTCTGACTGCAATTTCAAGATAATCGCGTAAATATGCTCACCTGGAAATTCGCGAATATGACGTCTGTTACGACGGGGCGAGAGGGGAGGCGCGAAGGTAGAATCTGCCGCAGCGTTGGCGGGA